TGCTTATGTATGTGCACCACATGTATGCCTGGTGCCCAAAGGGGCCATCATATCTTTTGGAACTGGAGTCATAGATGGTTGTGAGTCACCATGTAGATGCTGGGAACTGAACCCTGGTCCTCTGCAGGAACAAGTACTCTTAATGACCGAGCCATCTCTGATGCTTTGGATTTCCTTTCTGAAGCACCGACTCCCTTTGGTCTTGATCGCTGTGTGTCTTGTGCAGCAGGTACGTGAAAGCCTGGCCAATTTCACAGGACAACAATAGGTAATGGATAATATATTGTATTTCATATATTGAAACATGTTTTTCTAATCCCTTAAGAGTTCTCATAGATTACATGACCACTTCAATAGAAGCCACGTCCTTGAGTCTTAATGGTAGACTCATTTTAATGTTATTGGAGCAGAAGATGGTTGTAGGGTATTATCGTTTTATATCCAATTAGTTTTAATTGCAATCTTTTATTCTCACTGGACAACAATACAGTCTCTTCAGTCTCAAGTCTCCACACCAGCCGCTGTCACTAACCTCCCTCGGCTGTTCAATGACGCTCTTAATGGTTACGTTTTGGGGATGCTTTGAAGTCCCTTTCCAATAATGGGGGAACTAAAAGAGAGGCACAGGACACAATTAAGTGATCTCAGGCTTCTTAGATATTAGGAGCAAATAAAAAGGACAGAAAGAAAAGCAAAGGAAGCCTCTCCCCAATATAAAACTGAAAAAGAATGAAATAGACCCGATAGAAAGGGCTGTGTGTCAGGGCAGTGGGAGTGCGGGGAGCAGACACCACCTTATAATTACAAATGGTTTTTATTTCTTGAAAGTATACTCTGGAATATAAGTGTGGGGGTGCAAAGATGTCACCCACCCCTCTCCTCAGGAAGGTCATGGCCCATATATCTATAACAAAAGACAAGTTAATAAAAATAAAGTGTAGTGAATTTACTTAAAATTTTATGTGACACGAGAGCCTTCAGAAATGAATCCTCTGGACTGGAGAGATGGCTCAGGGGTTAAAAGCACTTGGCCGCTCTTCCAGAGGGCCTGGGTCTGATTCAAGCACATGGCAGCTCACAAGTATCCCTGACTCTCCAGTGTAGGGATCTGACGTCCTCTTCGGGCCTCCTTGGGCAGGCTCACACTGCAAAGACATGCTCAGTCACCACCCCCCTCCCCCATAACACAACAGTGTTTATAAGCCAGGGAAAACCATTTTTATGCTCAATTGAAGTATAGAGTGTTTGTGTGGAAATGTGAGTGGACCAAGTTGTACTCCCGTGGTAACGGACTGTGGCAGACCCCAGCAAGGCCCGTCGGCTCAGATTCATCTAGTTCTCGCTGTAGCTTTCATCCTCTGCACAGCGCTTGGCCCTTTTGGAACCAGGCAAGGTAGGTCTGAGTTTATGCCCAGCTCTCAGAAGGGCAAGGGAAGGCTGTGACTCTCTTGCTTCCAAGGACTTCTCCCTCATCTTCAGTACCCCACCCCACCCGGGGTAGCATTTCCTGAGACTCAACACAGTCTAATGCCCATTTGAGTCTTGAGTATTGTGAGTTTCTACATTCTAACTTACTCATTATGTGAATCTCAGAATTCTTTGATTTTCAAAGTATTCCAGAACTTTCTTCAGGCCATTAAAAAAAATTACAGAGTCTATCCCATTTTTATTCACAGCTGTATACAAATATACACAAAAATACTGTTAAACAGGACTCACGGTTCTTTTTGACTTCTTGAATTAAGGGATGTTTTTGTCACTGCTGTTAGAGTTTCCTATATACAAATTTAGTTTTATATTTAAAATGTGTGTGTGTGCTGTTGATCCACCAAGGGGACCCAGAAAATTATTCCCAGGCCTAAGCAATTCCATCGGACACTACCAATCAGACAGGCTAACTTACTGGGGAATTCCTGTTTCATTATGCTTGGGCAAGGGCTAATATGTGGCATCTACAGTTGGGTTTTATGCAGTTCTTAAGGGATGGGCCCTTGCACTGACTTCTTACTGAGACTGCGTACTTCTCTGGAAAAGGAAATTCTACTGTGTATAAATGTGCCTGTCCCCAGTTGATGAAGCCAAGGAGTCAATAACTGCTGTTTTCAGAAGACAAGTCATAAATCTGATTTCTAGAAATCCCTTCTGTTCTAGATTGACCTGCTTTGAGTCGATTACAAGGTCATTTCCCCACTTGTCATTCTTATCAGTTTGAAATGTCCAAGGTGGTGATTAAAATACGATCCTTGGAGAATATTTGCTCATGTCCTAAGCAGCTCCTCCTTTTGCCTGAGTTCCACCCAATGAACAATTGCTCTGTAGGGAAGCCTGCATGTGCCAAACTTGTAGCTCCTTAGAGAGAGAGGCTGAGACAGAGCCCATAAGGAGCCCCCCATGGTGCCAACAGCATTCACATTCTGTGTTCCCGGACCTCATTTCAAACCAAACCTTTAGTAATGATCTAAAGGAGCCTTGTTCTTTAAGATATGCACATAGTTGTGACACTGCAAACGAAGGGAGACACTTAATGTAAAGTTTAGATTGGAATGCTTTCCTTGGGTTCCGTAGAATAATTGTGTTTATACGTCTAGTACTCAGAACTGTGAAGCCACTTCAAAAAACTCATGAGTGTTTTGCCTGCATGTATGTATGTATGTGTACCACGTGCATGCCTGCACAGGTCAGAAGAGGGCATTGGATCGCCTGAAACTGGAGTTAAAGACAGTAGTGAGCTGCCATGTGGATGCTGGGAACTGAACCTGGTTCCTCTGCAAGATCAGTAAGTGCTGTTAACCACTGATCCATTGCTTCAACCCCTGTATAGTCATTTTAAAAGCAACAAATCTTTGGTTACCATTGTGGTTTTATCTAGTAAATGAGGAGACTAAGGACCAAAGGGAACCAATGGACCAGCTATGAGTCACAGAGCTAGGACATGTGATGTTCCCAGAAAAAATGCTGCACCTGTGCTAAACGTTCTACAAGTCTGACTGATTCATTAAAACTTCAGTGATTGTAAAGAGTTGCAATGTTGCAGGTCCAGGGCCAAGCTTATCATGGCCTATCTTAGACCTCTTAATAGCCATCTACTGTCCATCTCTGTATGTGATCGAACACCCTTTATGACTGGAGGTTAAATCCCCAGGAACCCCAACAGACCCCCAGTTGCTACCAACCCAGGGCTAATGATGCCACTGAGTAGCATCTAAGGCCTTTGTAAATATTTCCCTGCTTTGCTATATAACCTGCCTACTGTGGTTCCCACCACCCTGTCGGTCAAATATCTTGACTTACAACTTTCTTTGTTCTGTAACATACATACAGTCTCATGTAATCACTTCCATGGTAGAACACGGCATTTGGGGTGACCCGAGTCTGTGTTCCTGGGCTACAGTCACTCCTACTTGGTTCCACAATGACCACCTCTTATTCCCTTTGAGGTAAGGGCAGGTTTTTGGAATCCATGGACAAAGTCTTCAGCCTTCTTATCTAACTCAATACCCTTTCTATCTCATTCTGGCCTTTGAACGTTCTTCAGTCGGTGTTGACTAGAGGAATATGACATTTGAGTCACTATGGCTAACGGTCACCACCGTGTTCTGAAGCCTCATAACACTCTCACTTGACAACCTACCAGGAAAGTGTTCGTATTATTCCAGTTTATGGTTGAGAAGATCAAACCACAGAGGATAAATAATTCCCCGCCTCTGCGTCTTAAAGGATGATGAGGCACAATTGAGATTTAAATCAGTTTTTTCTGATTTACTCACAATGCAAATGCTTACACTTAAGATCATATTCAAATACCCAGAGTCATCTTTTCTTGGCAGAGAGCAGATAACACCATCTTTTAAGGCTCTTGGCCTTAAACGATCTTGCTTGATAGGAATAATATTGTTACCAGGTCCCAGGATCTCAATTTCTTAGAATGCTCTTTCCCTGCCTGGTCCATAATGAAGTCAGATGTAATCCTTCTAATTCAATCCCTTCCCCACCCCTAAGTTACTAACCTCCTTATGCCTCTCACACAAAATTCTTCTATTGATTTGGGGGATGGGCTAGTAGCACTAAGGAATCTAAATAGTGATTTTCGGCACCCTGGAGGGGTAGCTGCTGAGGACATCATGTGACAAGCCAGAGACTGTTGGGCAAGACAAGAGTGTGGGGCCTGTCTGGGCTGCCCCCACTCCCAGATCCAGGCAGGCAAATCACCTCATAAATAATCTTCTCCACAGGCTTCGCTGCCGGCTCCAAACGGGCTCGGAGCGTATTTGGCTTGTTTTTAAAGAGGGTGTGAGTGAACGGCTGTCATTTAAAATTGCCCAGAACCCAGATTATGAGAACAGGTGGGCCTGAATTTGGAGCAAATTAAACGTGAGGCTGAATTTAAAAGCCAACACGATGGAGTGCTTGTTTGACTTTAGAAAGGATTCGGTTACTCTTGGGAGTCTTTAAAGCAGGATGTCCCTCACTGCAATTAAAATGTAAATATCTCCGTTCGGCTTTGGTTAGCACATGGGGTCCTTCAGGAGTTTGCTTGCCTTACCAAGTCAAGGCACTCACGTAAAGCAAAAGATAACTGAAAAGATCTGATTGTTTCTTATAAAAACTGATGCCCAGGAAGCTCTTCTTCCTATTTTTTAAATGGCAAAGCTGCTATAGCAACCCCCTTCCTGAGAGAGATCTTGTTTTTAAATACCATGCGATGCTCTTTTCTAAAGCTCACTCAAGTCAAGATGAGGTACTTTGTACAAGTCGGGTTAGCCACTGCTGGACAGCCCTGCACCAGTAGGTGGCGCTCTAAGAAAGAGATTCCCTTACCGTAAAAGCCAACACCTTGAGGCCTGGAAGCAAAATTACACCCTTTCTCCTGCCTCTTCCCGAAGGCAGGGGCTCTACTCTGCCTCCTCAGAGGGTCTCACTTTACCGGGCCTGACCCTCCAGGACTGTACTGTCGTTTGCGCACATTGGCAACCACAATGACATTTCTTTTAGAGCTGTGCGGGAGGGAGGCGAGGAAGAAGGTGTTATGTAAGACCTTAGCTCATAGCCTTTGGTTCCGGAGTCCCTGAATCTGTTAACCATCTCGTGGTGCTAATGAGGATGCCCAGATGAAACGGAGGACCCAGACTGCCCATCTCCTTGTTTCAGGTTTAATGTCTCCCAGCATTTGGGGGGTCAATGGTAGGGCTCGTGGAGAAGGAAGTGGTGGAAGTCATGTGTGGGGACAGAGTGGCCCGTTGTGAAAGGCCTCGGCTCAAGCAGGGCTCATTGGCTGTGAGTCGGGGGTGTTGAAGCCCTAGGACTTCCCTCCTCTGCTTTTCTAGGATTTTCTTTCTCTTCGTCCGGTCTTCTTCTATCCAGGCCCCTAGCAGAACAGATGACAAATGCCAGCTAGTGAGTCAGTCTCGGGTCTCATTTCTGCCAGGCCAACCACCATTTCCCTGCTCAGCCACACTTGGAAGCTTTGTAAGCCCTGTAGCATGGATTCCCGTGTGCTTGGGAGCATCCCAGGAGGAAGGGCATAGAACTAAACGGGGCGGACGAGACCTGGCTCTTAGGAAGGCCGGAGAAAATGAATCCACCACTTAGCACGTGAGTGATGAGGCCGAGGGAGGAAGAACAGCCGCGCAGAGTGAAGAGGGATCTAGAGTGTTCGGACGGACAGCCACTGAGGCAGGGGGAGGCTTATTAGAGAGCCAGTGAGGAAGCTTTGAACTTGAGGGACAGTAAGGAGACCAATAGAGTATTTCTAAATTCCTGTGTGCGTGTGCGTGTGCGTGCGTGCGTGCGTGCGTGCGTGCGTGCGTGCGTGCGTGCGTGTGTGTGTGTGTGTGTGTGTATGCGCACGCCAGTGCTCACGTGGAGGGCTCTGTCACTCTCTGCCTGGAGGCCAGTCCTCAAGCCCCAGATGTTTGTCTCGCCTTCCTGGGGAGATCCGTCCCTCTCCCATCCCCTTACTCTGTACCTTACTTCTGTGGTTATAAGGACTGTAGTTTGCTTGTCAAAGACTTAACAGCCAGCCTCCTCATTAAGTGAATGCATACCATATTTATCTTTCTGGGTTTCCTCACTCAGGATGATATTTCTCTAGTCCCATCCATTTACCTCTGAATTTCAAGATTTCATTTTTCAATGGCTGAGTAATACTCCATTGTGTAAATGTACCACATTTTCTTTATCCATTCTTCTGTTGAGGGACATCTAGGCTGTTTCCAATTTCTGGATATGACGAATAGAGCAGCAATAAGCACTGTTGAGGAAGTGTCTCTATCGTGGTATGAAGCATCCTTTGGGTACATGCCCAAGAGTGGAATAGCTGGATCTTGAGGTAGATCAATTCCCAGCTTCCCGAGGAACCGCCACACTGATTTCCGTAGTGGCTGCACAAGTTTGCACTCCCGCCAGCAATGGACGAGTGCTCTCTTGTCCTGCATCCTCACCAGCACAAGTTGTCGTCTGTTTTATTGATGTGGGCCACTCTGACTGGTGTAGGATGGAGTCTCAACGAAGTTTGCATTTGCTCTTTGCTGATAACTAAGACTGCCGACTGTTTCTTTAAGTGCTTCTGGGCCATTTGTGTTTCCCCTTTTGAGACTTCTGTTTAGTTCTGTCCCCCATTTTTAAATTGGGTTGTTTGTTTTCTTGATGTCCAGTCTTTTGAGTTCTTCATATGTTTTAGATACCAGTCCTCTATTGCATGTGTGGTTAGTAAACATCTTTTCCCATTCTGTAGCCTGCCACTTTATCTAAATGATGGTGTCCTTTGCCTTACAGAAGCTCCACAGGCCTGTTTTATGGAATCAGTTCTTCTCAGAATCCCAGGCCTTTTCAATGTAATGTCATTCTGAAGTTTAATTTTTCTCATTTTCTGCTCCCAACTATGCTATGCCATAACCACCCCCCCACGGCTCCCTCAATGATTGTTGGGTAGATTTAATAACTTTCTAGTTGCCTAGGTGATGTGTATAGTCCTGTTTCAGAGTCTGCATAGGCCCGCTCATTTCCATGACCCTGTTGTCAAACTTGATTGAGAGTTCTGTTCCTGGTCCCACACAGATGACTCTTGGTAGCCCTAGTGAGGTTGGAGTGGAGGGCCAGAGATGACCCTGAGGCAGCCTGTTCCTTCCTCTCCTGAGGATAGCAGGAAGGCTGGGCACAAGTGTTCTGAGACTACTCACAGTGTGGACTCCATCTCTCTTCTCTTCCATTCAGCCTGATTCTATTTGATGGTAGTGATGGTCTTCTTGCAAGCGATGCGCGTGTCTTTCTCTTCGTGTGGCCGGTCTCATCCTTCATCCTTGAGGACGGCTCTCCCAGTTAACACCTCTTTAGTTGGTCCACAGGCCCCCAGACCTGCGTATGGCTCCTGCTCTCCTGTTTGTGTTGGCATGGCTTGAGATCTCCGAATTATGTAAAGTGTTGTGTGTCACCCGGAGGCCACACACGGAGACTGGGATAAGCTTGCCCTAACTTCTTCCATGGTGCATTAGGGCCATTTTGTCCTCTGCTGTTCTACCAAGATGTTTGTCTTTCATCATAGCCAAGTAAACAGCATTCTTTTACCAAAGACCCTGAAATCCAAGGCTGCATCCACCAAAACCCCATTCTTTTTTTTCACAATAGAGAGAGAGAAATGAAAAGTTGATGTGCCATTTCTAGGTTCCTAGAACATTCTCTAAGAGATCTTGCTATATTATGCTTTGCCTTGATAGCAAGACCAACAGATATTAGAGATAAAAAACCAAGTCATTAGAAAAGGGGATGCTCTTCTTATTGGGATAACGTAACAAAATGCCTTAGTTGGGGCAGTTTAAACAGCAGATATTTAAGTTTCCCAGCTCTAGAAGTTGGAAGTCTGAGGCTGCTGTACCAGCATGTTTGGGGGTCCAGGAAGGTCACTTTCCAAATTACAGAATGCTGCCTATCTAAGCCATCTGGATCTCTCCCTCTTCTTGAAAGGACACAAATCCCATCAATAAGACCCAATCTTCATGACATCTTTTAAGCTCAATTATCTTCCAAAGGCCCCATCTCCAATACCACTGCATTAGAAGTCAGGGTGTAAACACAGGGCTTTGGGGGACACTGTTCGGTCTGTGTCACTTAATGTTACAAAAGAGTTTTCTGGCATACAGGAAGAGATGTTCTCTTACCACCAATACTGAACTAACTGACAATAATATTTTTCTTCCTACTTCTCATGGCTATATATCTGATGTGAGGGGGTGATGAGTTCTAGATGAGGTATGTGTGCCGGCTCTGGGCCCTTTCAGAAATCCCTGCATGGGTGTCAGTCACTGCAACATTTAGTAGCTTTTGGAAAGTTCCTTGGGCTTAAAAATTTGGCTGTCTAACGCCATTTGATTTCAGCTTTGGGCTTCAGCTCCAGAAAACAGCCACAGCAACCAATCCATCTTAGAGTCTACTTGCGTATTTGAAAATGCTTTCTGTAACAAATGAAGATTTTCATGCTTCTGCTGGGGCTAGGCAATGAGAAATAGCACAGTGAAAAAAATGAAATTTTCATAATCCTGGATTATGGAAATGAGCCAGTAAACAAATACATAATCTAGATAGAGAGGGGGAACCTGGGAAATGTCACAGTTTAGACTGAGTGCTCTGGGAAAGCCACCACTGAGGAGGTGAGGGTTGAGCTATGATGTGGATGACCATGTGGAGCCACAGTAGAGGACACAGCAGGGCAAATGTACTCAAGGGGAGGTAAGTGTGCTGAGTTCCATCCAGGAGGAGCAGCAGCTCTGTGTGGCCGGCCGAGGTTCAGGGAGACAAGAGGCGAGGTCGGGGTTGTGCAAGGTTTATTTATGGTAGGCTATTTCAAGAAGTGATTTTGTTTTGAAATACGAAGTGTGATGGTTATTCTTGGTTGTCAACTTGGTTGTCTGGAATGACCTACAATCCAGAAATGGAGGGCACACCTGTATGAGATTTTCTGTTTGGTTTGAAGTGGGCGAATCTACTTCTTGTCTGGACCTTTGAGGTGGGAAAACACACACCTTTGTTCTGCATCTTGAGGCATGGGAAGGCATGGGAAGACACACCTGTAACCTGGGCCACACCTTCTGCTGGAAGTCTACATAAGGACGTGGAAGATGGAAGCTTTTGCTCTTTGCCCGCTTGCCCTCGCCTTGCTAGCACATCCATCCCTTCACTGGCAGTGGAGTCGACTTCTTCAGGGTTCCAGAATATACAGAAGACCAGCTGAGACACTCAGCCTCGTGGGAGTGAGCAGCTACTAGATTCTTGGACTTTCCATTCACAGCTAGCCATTGTTGGATTAGCTGGACTGCAGCTAATATATGTATATATATATATACACACACACATATATATGTATATATATAATGTGTTATATATAGTTTCATTCCATACATTCTGTGACTCTAGAGAACCGTGACCAATACACAAAGGAAGCCCATCGCAACTTTTTCAGGTGCACAGGAATGCCACTGAGTGGCTTATTATATAAAAGGTCTCCCCCCAAGTAAGGAGAATGGGCTTTAAGGAGATACGATGGATTGTGGTGGCCTAGAAAGATATGCCTGCATTCTAATCCCTAGAAGCTATAAACGTGAACTTATTTTTCAAAAAGCTTCTTTGCAGACATAGATAAGAATTTCAAAATGAGATGACTCTGGATTAACTGATGGCTCCTGGATCCAGTGACAAGTGTCCTTAGGAAAGACAGAAGCAGAGGTGGCACTCAGAGGAGAGGGCACCATGAAGGTGAAGAAACAGGAAGGTGCAGCCACGAGCTGAGGAAGGCTTGAAACCACCAGAACTGATGGCTAGTTTTTGCCAGCTTATCACTAACCCAAGTCATCTAGGAAGAGGGAAGTTCAGTTGGGGAATTGCCTTCATTCAACTGGCCTGTGGACTCATCTGTTGGACATTATCATGGTTAATGATGACTGCAGGATGGCCCGCCCAACTGTGTGGAGAGCCACCCCACACAGTGGGCAGGAAGCCTGGGTTCTGTGAGAAAGCAGGTTGAGTAAGCCATGGAAAACAAGCCAGTGAGCAGTGTTCCTCCATGGCCTCTTTCTCAGTTCCCAGCTCTGAGTTCCTGCCTCAGTTTCTCTCAATGATGGACTGAAAAGTGTAAGATGAAACAAACCCCTTTCTCCTCA